CTTTGTTTGTAAGGATTTTTATGAAGTTTCGGAATCCAATATAAATATGGTAGTTCAAATTCATTTTGGTTGTTTGGAATATTAAAAATATTCAAAACTGACATATGATTTTGAAGAATTTCTTCCTTAGAAAGGGAACTACGAGTATAAGTTGGATTACCACTTGTAGAATTAAATCCAAGTTCCTCTAAAATACGTTTAATATAATGAGCCTTACAAACAAAGACAATGTTGTTATCTGCTTTGTCAGCAGGGACCAGTACGTACTGATCATGTAATCTGTCTAATTCTTTTTTCACTTCTGGATTATTGAATACAGAAGGATAGATGGTTCTCATATTGCCCCTCAATCTTTTAATGCGTGATTTTAACATACATCTGAAAATGGATACCAAAATGGATTTAATCCATTTTGACAAAGTACATCGGAAGGTAATGTAAGGGTCTTAATTAATCGATCTAGTGCAAGGGCATACACTCAATCAGAACATAGTAAGCTTTTTCACATAAACTCTGAAATATTAAGGTATTTGAAAAGTGCTGCGATCCTGATGAAATCTTGATAATGAATAAATTATATCTATATTTAATGCCGTTGACCAGCACAAAATTGAGCATGCGGTCATATAAACATGATTTTAACAATGAAATAGCAGAATCTATATAGGATCGCAGCAATTTTCAGAAACTATAATGCGTTTTGAAAATATTCATAAACTTAACTTAGAATTTTAACTTGGTTACGCCCTTGCACTAGTGAAATTCATATGTGACCTCAATACTGCAAGTATACGTGTTAAGATCATGTGACTGCCACATCACGTGACAAGTCTAACTATAAAATCTAATTGTCCTCAATATGTAGTTAATAACGATAATTACACGTGTCCGATACAAATAAAGTACTAAAAAGAATGCCATCCTAATTAAGAATATATTTTTACATCACAAAAATTGCCGATACAGTGAAACCCTTCTAATCCGACATGCTCTTGGAGACGAATTTTGTGTCGGAATAGACAGGGTGTCGGATTGTACCGTGTAAAAAGCACGGAGAATAGTACAATGAGAATGAAATCTAACGTCGATTTTTACAGTGTGATGGATTACACAGGTGTCGGATTAGACAGTTTTCACTGTATTTCTATTGCGCACCCTAACCGTACTGCGTAAGCTCGCCTGTCTGAAAGGGATGGACGACCTGGTCGTCTACTCAAAATTTTCAAACCAGCGAGCTACAGATCTGCAGCTACTTTCGATTATATGTATAAATGACTCACCTTACCATTTAACTTGAAGTCAATGCTTCTTGTTTATTTATCTGGGACTCTCAGGGTCTTCAAATTTTTATTTTTAGTAAAAAAAAATAACCCCCACACCACCCCACGGAAACAACTGATCTCAAGTAAAATTTTATTTTATTTATACATATGATGGAAAGTAGCTGCAGACCCCCATCCCCCCTCCCTTAGATAGAACGAACGTTCTATCGTTAAAATGATATTGTCCTACAGACCCACTTTAACGATAAAATTCGTGGCAAAATAAATAGGGGCAGATCACTCTAATCTACACGTTCATAACGAACCCTGAGAGTTCCGAAAGTCAACATTTCGTATAAATTCGAAGAAAACAAAATGCTGAGAAAATGAAATGAATTTTTGTCTTTGTATGGATTATTTTTCAGGTTAAAAAGCATATACAAGCTCAAAAAGGTTTGTTATGATTAATTAAGTAGTTATTTTTAGTGCAAGTCCTTCTGTATTCTTCAAAAATCGTTTAGGAACGGATCCGCTCCGATTTGCTACATTGGAACTATATGGTACGTATTCTAACTGTGGCTAGAGCTTGTCCAGACACACAGGTTATTCTGCCTACATCCTCCTATCCTCCCCCACACAAGAAGTAGATTTTTAGGGGGATTGGCTAATCTTATTTATTAATATGTTTTCCTTGGATTTTTCTTAGTTGGTATGGGCCCCCACCCCCTGGAAAAAATCCTGGATCCGCGTATGATTTTTTCCATTTTTAAAGAGAAAAAAAACTTTAGGAACTGATCTCCTAGATTTCACTGAATCCTAATTACAATGTAGTTTATTGATTCTAAACCAATGATGTATCGCCAGTCCTAGGTTCTCTCATCATTAACTTCCTTTAAGTCACTGATCTAAGTGAATTTAAACCTTGTACAAATTAACTGAGTGTATCATATTATGCGAAGCATAAATATGTCTTTTTTATTTTTGAGATTTCCGGGTATAAAAGCGCCTTATGCCAGCTCTCATCTTTTTATCTTATTATAATTTGATGAAATTCTTTTTAATTACTATAGAACTCATGCAAAGGACAACTAAAAAGCGTATCTCAGTTTAGGTCCACGGTCACTTAAAACATATTCGGAGCGGAGAATTCCCTTAATCTTTTAAATTTAGCTTTTTATTTCGACTTCCGAATGGACAATAAACACGTAATGATCAACCAACGTGACAGTTAATCTTCAGAAGGCTTTGTTTCCCTATAGGGAAATCTCAAAATCTTTGATTAACGAATGTTGTCGTGTGTGATGATGAATTGAAAAATCCGAAATATTTGTAATAAAAATAATTCCTGACGTCTCAGGGGTCGAGAGATTCCTTGAATAGATATCTTGTTTATTTAATTAGAATCTTCGAATCGTTTGAAGAGAGAAATATCTCGAGAAGAATTCTAGGGAGAATAATTATAATTCCTAATGTTCGCCACGTTAACTAGTATTTTACCATTAATGATCTGTGCATATACATATTCGGTGGATTTTTGCAGAAAAGCTGCTGAGAGTTAGTTTCGCATAGCTACATGTACAGATCACACAGTCACTCTCAAAATATTGGATTTGATTTTTTATTAACATCTCAATTTAAGTCTAACAGGCATAGAAGGCTGAATAGAAAGTAATAAAAGTCGGTATTCTTTGAAATTCACAGCGAATGGATATTAATGAGGTTAAAAATATATGGAGATTGACCCGGACGTAGAGGTCAACCTAGACGGTAGACCAAAACGAATGAAACTAGACCACAAGCATGGTGAAAATTGTACAATGAAAAATGCTGCAATTTTACCGTAAGTAAGTAAAATAATTATTAATTTACATCGAGATCATTCTTTAGAAGACATCAAAATACAAGTACTCTGACTAGATCCTTTAAATATAGCTGTAACTATGTCTATACAACATGTGTAAATCCGACTTTCCTCTGTTAAACTTTTATAACGGTAAAAATTAAGACTAAACAAAGCTGACAATTCAGTGCTGTCTTAAGTAACATCCAGATAAAATATAATTAGATAATATACAAAACAATTCACACTGATATGTGATTCAGTATTCACCATTTATAATATCATGTTCATACGAAGATGGAGAGGGGTCATCTCAAACTACATAAGCATTACAGAGGTTAACCATAATTTCGTTTAACTTTGTATGTTAATTACCTACATGTGTTGTTAAACATTCTTGTATGTCAAATTAGTCATGCCCAAACTTACATTGTGTTGTCTTGGTTTATAGCAGTGGATCAGCTGCAATCAGTTTTAGGAAATTAATATACACCACATGCATCACCCGACATGATTTTGAGGAATGTGATTTTTTAAAGAATTTACACGATGTATCCCAGTGAGCTTGAAATAAAAGATATCACAGAGTCTGACACATCTGTTTCATATTTGGATATTTATATTCTGATTGTACACACAAGTACTCTGAAGTTGACATTAAAAAGATGCTCGAGTTTCTGATTGACAATATTTATGTGGTTTTTGGAGACCAGGTCTTCCAACAATCTACTGGAATTCCCATGGGTACAAATTCCGCCCCGTTATTAGCAGACCTATTTTTGTATTCATATGAAGCAGATTTTGTTCAAAATCTTTTACGTGAAAAGAAGAAAACACTTGCTGTGGCCTTCAACTCTACATTTAGATATAATGACGACGTACTGTCAATTAACAATGGTTATTTCCATTCTTATGTCGACACGATTTATCCCGGTGAGCTTGAGATAAAAGATACCACAGCGTCTGACATATCTGTTTCATATTTGGATATTTTATTAGAAAAAGACGTTAATGGTAATCTAACAACAAAGCTTTATGATAAACGTGATGACTTTAACTTTTCCATCGTCAACTTTCCTTACTTATGCAGCAATATATTTTCATCACCTGCATACGGGGTTTAAATCTCTCAGTTGATTCGATACGCCAGAGCATGCTCTACGTATGAACAATTTCTAAAACGAGATAAGTTATTGACAAACAAGTTGATGAAACAAGAATATCAGCAGTCCCGTTTAAAGTCGTCATTTCGTAAGTTTTATGGTCGATACAATGACTTTGTCAGCAAATACAATTTATCATAAAGTCAAATGCTAACTGACGTTTTTCATACTTTTTCAATACTGGTCTGTACCAAGACCTAAAACTCGTCACACTTAAAATACTCGTCTCCAACAAAAACTTTCTCATGCGATTATTATCATAAATATAAATACTGCATGTAGTTGAGTGTAACATTGAAAATTTTCACCCCCAAAAAATTTTGTCAACCTCGGCTGCGCCTCGGTTGACAATGGTTTTCGAGGGGTGAAAATTTTCAATGTTGCACTCAACTACATGCAATATTTATTATATCATACTGAATGTTTTATACAACTTCATATTACAGTGAAACTTGCGCGCATGAATTCTGCGCAGTCAATACATTCTGGAATATCACCCATCGTCAAGCAATGTTAACTGTTGCTACGTTGGAGGGCGTGGCTTCATTATTCAGCGGGTAAATTAATGTATTTTTTAACAAGTGTTTCTCGACGAATCAGATTCAACTAATTTACATGAAAGTATAACTAATTGTGAAAAATGTAACTCTGCTAATTCCAAAATCATACTTGTTTCCAAATGAATGCATGATTCTGCATTGTTGTAATAATTATCAGAAATTTTTCTCTTCCAATTCATCGGTACTTCAGAATCATGAACATCATCAGAACAAAGACAGTACTAAACAGTGAAAACACTTCGTTAGAAATTGTTCCACCGGATGTCTCCATTATTTGGGGACCATTGCAATAGTTAGTACTACAAAGTGCAATACAAAACTTAAGTCCTGAGAGTGTATCATATGCGCACTGTGTCTGGTTGTTTGGAGAAACAGTTTTTGCCAGTAGGGAGACACTTTTACCCGCGTATTCACCGTCTGTACAACCACGTATAAAGCTTACAGTGGCACCTGCAAGGAATGAGATCATTTCATTTACTAAAGTTGAATAATATCACAATCATTAAGAACAAGCTATGTACTTACTGATGATTGGATGAAATATACTGTTCAGAAAGGAAACGCATATTCCACATTTAAATGTTTCTGGGAGTAAATGTCCCACATATCATAATATATGGGATTTATCCCATGTTTGATAATAAATGGGAATGGGAATACATGTAATACCCTGACTAGTATATATAGTATATATAAGTTTGTCATACATTTCTTTTTCGATGAATATGATTTTTCATTATTTTTTAAAGGTGCTTAGACACAGATTTGAAGTTAATATTTTCTCAAAATTTCTGTATAATATCACGACGTATATATTGCAATAGCATTTCACACGAAAATAATATAATTAAAAACTTATTTTATCTAAAAATTATTGGAACTACGAATTCCTGGACACGTTTGATTAACACATCTTTGCGTTTTCACAAATTTTATCTTTATCCTTAGTATTTAAGAAAAGAAGCGATTTTGTTTTGTATTAATGAAAAACATTACATCTAAAATCCAGAAAATTCAGAGTAGTAATGTGCGAAAGCAAACCCTCTCACTAATATCGTCAGCCCGTGCTCAGTGTTGTGTACAGAGTTTAATAAATTGAATACACCCGTGAAACGTAAACTGTTTCTGTAAACAGGGCACGAGTTCTGTTATTGTTAATGTTTACGATTCACGGGGTGTGTTCAGTTGTTAAAGTCTGCACACACCACTGAGCACGGACTGACAATACTGTGAGTGGGTTTTGCTTTCGAACATTTCTACTCTGAATTTTCTGGATTATAGTTTTAATACTTTTCATTAATACACAACAAAACTGCCACTTTTCTTAAGTATTAAGAATAAAATTAAAAATTGTGAAAGTGCAAGGATGTGTCAATCAAACGCGTCCAGAAATTTGAAGTTTCAATAACTTCGAGATGAAATAAGATTTTTATTATATTTTAGTATGAAATGCTATAGCAACATATAAGTCATGGAATTATACAGAAAATCTGAGAAAATATTAACTTCAAATCTGTGTCCAAGCACCTTTAATGCTATTGTTAACTTCACAGCCATAGTACAAAATCTAACAGAAAACAAACCTGTGATCCTATTCACAAAAAATCATACGACATAAATAAAAATTTGACAACTCCGGATTTTTTTCTATTTCTCGAGCAATTAAGATTTTTCTTTTCAAAATAATTATTTACAATTACAATCTAACAATAAAACAAGCTAATTCAGAGAATTTGTGTCCCCCGCTTAGGGAAAAAAGAAAAGCATGCGCAGTTCGGGGAGGGGGGGGGTCGGACTCCACCCCCCTGGATTTGTAGAATTATTAAATGTATACAAGCATTTTGAAGCAAATAAAAAATGCCAACATGGATATAAAGATTTGATTGCTTATTATTTAATATGTGTATAGAAGATTCTTTTTATATAGAATATTTATCACACCGTAATAATGATTTTATGAGTTTGTACAAGCCAGACGTCATAACTTTTCCATTTCACATGCTTAATACTATCATTTAGAAAATACAAAAATTTTATAAAAAAAAGTCCGTCCGGGATTTGAACCCGGCACCTCTCACATGCTAAGCGAGTGGCATACCCCTAGAGCACGGAGGCACTTAATTAATAGTTAATTAAATGCAAACATTAGGTCACATATAATGTTTATATTCACGTTAGATATTGTCAAAATTTTACACAATATATGGTGTCTAATTTAGCCTTTACTAAACAGTTCTAATAGATGTAATAAGAATATACAGGCCGCCGACAACCTGTATTATACGTAATAACTCTCCACATGCCCCTGTGCTAAAAATAAACCAAGCGACTTTTAATACAATAAATAATTTTAAAAAAAACGGGGCGGGAAACTTTGAGAGGGGCGAGAGAGGTCCTAAGGAGTTATGGCATAAAAATTCATTGCGAAAGCTCAAAAGCGTCTTGAGATATCGACCGGAAACGAAAGTGTAACACACAGGCGGAACGTATGAATTTACGACCTTGAACTTTGACCTTTTGACCCCAAAACCTTGGGCCACAGGAAGTTATGTAAAATTTCATTGCAGAAGCTCAAAGGATTCCCGAGATATCGCGCGGAAACGAAAGTGTTAAAAACAGACAGAATTTATGACCTTGACCTTTGGACCTCAAAATCAATAGGGTTCTTCTTTAGGCCATAGGGAGTTGCTGTGCAAAATTTCATTGCGAAAGCTCAAAGGGTTCTCGAGATATCGCGTGGAAACGAAAGTGTTACAGACAGACAGAAATACAGACAGACAGACCCAAATTAATATCCCCCACTTTCAGTGAAAGCGGGGGACAAAAATATAAGATCTTTTGTGACCTACTATAGCTTAGGTACTTGTGGAATGGACAATTTTTGGTGTTAGTCTTAGGGCGGTACACACGGTAAGGCCTGCCTTATAAGTCTAAAACCTTTAGTTACGTTTAGCAGGACGTACGGCTCTCGCGTCCACACGCTAAGGCAAGACTTACAAGATTATAAACATTTCCATAAATCCACGTCTTTTAGAGCCTTAAACAGTGCACATCATTAAAACAGAAGATTACTAGCTAGGACTTTGGAATAATTTTACCGACCAGTGCATTCACACTTCTTAAAAGAGAGGAGGTTGTACAAAAGCATTTGCGGATATTTTCATTATCTTATTCGAATATACTGTATATGTTTCCTTCAATCTACCCACGTGTTTGATAAAAATAGATTGAACAGTAGGTTATTGTATTTTATTGGTTGAGAGGGACATGACAGCTAAGTCTTGTATTAATTAAATAAGAAATAGAGCAGTGCTCTATTCGAAAGTCAGACTTATAAGGCTTGAACAAGTTGCTGTCCTTTAAAAAAGGACTGCAATACGTGGACCATATCCATGTGTTTTTAAACGAAATTCAAAGGATATTTCTAAATTTAGTGATTTTACAAAGGTGTAATTAATTATTTTTTTTACATATATCTTGTAATTTTTTTTATTTAAGTCTACTTAATTAGGCTGTAATGATAAAAAAAAATCATGACCTTGAAACGATATGAATATGAAATGTTGATCTAGGTATCTATCACAATTGTAATGAAGTCTTTAAAATTAACAACAGAATTAAAAGAGGCTTAAGCGTACAGGTATCGTAATGGTTGATTTTTAACTCCATTGGCAGATCCAGGGAGGGGGGGGCGGGTGTTGGAACCCCTTTATTTTTGCAGAAAGAGGAAGAGAGAGAGAGAATGTTTTTTTCTGTAATATAGATATTTTTACGTCTAGTATTTTCAATAAAATAAGTACTTCAATCTCTGCCCTATCTGCTCTCTAGAAAGAGTTTTGCTTATTGCTTTCCTCCATGTACCTTCACAACCCAGGCCCCGGGCCTCGACCACCCACACGTGACATGAAAGATTTCACTTTGATATCATCGGAATATTCCGGCGGACGTACGGCTATTTTTGGACCATCTTCTAAAGTAACTAACTTTAAGAAGTCATGAAAAGGAGTATGCCTAAGAGAATATTTATATCCTCATTTTATGGGGATATTTTAATCAATGAAGAGAAAGGTTCAAAATGTCCCCGTAATATGTGGGGGAGGGGGGGGGTCACTTTTTCTTAAAAAAAATAATCTTTTGTTATAATTTTAATGTATAAGTTTTGATTTACATTGGAAGCTCCCCCGCACTTTTTGTTGCGGGAAGGTTTAAAATACGGAAAATCAACCATTTAAAAGAAATCAAAATGTACCGGAAAGTTAGACGAAGCCCCCCCCCCCCCTCCCTCCGAAATAGGATTTTACAGTAAAGTGCAAAGGTTGTTATCTTTATTTATTTATCTTTTTATTTTGCTTGTCAACTCTTTCTTGGAGGTTGCTCCCTTTGAAAACCGTTGCCACGGGCTTGAATTCAAGTGCCTGCTGTGTGACCTAGAACCCCCTCCCCTTTTCAAAAACTGCTGGATCCGACCCTGAACTGGAGCACCAGAGGGTCTCGGCACTAGAAGGTCTCGAGTTATCTAAAGCGATGCTAGGTTATTAACTCGATCAATTTAAAAACATAAAAATATTAATTTTGTGTGCGTGTTTTTTTTCTCTGTCTCTTTTTAAATAACGGAATGGTTAATATACAACACCTGAACACCTTCTATCGTAACTTCTCGGCAAAACAATGTGTTTTTCCGAGCTTGCCAGAAAGGTCTGAGAAGATACGACTGACAATCTCATCGCACGTGTGTAGACACCGGGCTATTTGGTAACAGGTTTGCAAGTATAGGTGTGTGCACTGTTTGCTAGTGACGCTTAGACTGGTGACAGTATTTGCTACGGACATGAAGAACTATACACTAGTTTCATAACATGTACAGGTTTTTTTTCCTAGTGAAAACTGGAGTAAATCTTGGATATGGGGTAACCCATATCGATCTATTCTTGTTACAACGACCGTCAATGCACCCATGGAGGAGTTCATTGGTTACTCGGAAAGGTGGCAGAGGTTAACCTTTCGTTAACATTTTCTACAATGATCTGCCTACTTTGAGTGATTGTACCTTCATAGCAAAATTGCTAAATTTTATCCTCGATCGGCCTATAGTTTTGTCATTTAAAAAATCTGGCTGTTTCGATACATGTAACCCATAACGGCTGGGACTTGACATCTGTACTAGATTTATACGGAAGATATTCTATCATTGGAAAGATAGATTTTACACGTGTAGCACAGATCTGTAGCACGCAGATTTTTTTTTATGTTTCTCCCTCCCCCCCCCCCCCCTGGAAAAATGTTGCTACAGGCCTTTATCAAGCTATATTTGGATTGCTGTCTATCAAATTATTTTGCGAACCTTGATGCACAGAACTAATGCCGGTAAACATGGTAAAGACTATCTTTTGAAACGAAGTAGTTGAACTAAGTGTTTAATTCAACATGTTCAAGCTGTCAAGTTATCTATATAAGTTCTTCCTACTTATTTAAAATGCTTGTACCATATAGAATTTAGATTGTATATAAGGATATATATATATAAAAGAGAAAATCGGATCTTGGTTACACCGAAGAATACATAAATACGATGTGTCGATTTTAGAGCGAGGTTTGCCCATGATTGGCATATTCTAATTCGAAAAGGGCGAATTGTTCTAAGGGTAAGTTGTCTTAGAGGCGAACTCTCTAGCATATTCGCGCATGCGTAGCCTGACGTAAGCCCATGGCATCCGGTTTAACCCCGCTTATATATTTTCTGCGTGGACCTCAGGGTCCACGCAAAAAAACGTGCATTAAGGGTGTACACACGGTAAGGCTAGAACTTAAGTTAACTTATAAGGCAAGCCTTACCGTGTGTACCGGCCCTTAAGATTTTTTAAATGGTCAATGGACTTTTGCGATATAAATAGTTAACTTAACAGTTAATTAAACGATAATAATGGACCATTTCAATGCATATATTACGTTGTTTAGGAAGGGAACGACAACCACCATATCCTTAACCCTCACCCATCCCATCTTGACCAATTCCTGTAAAGTTTTCCTTCCGGATCGGAATGTTTTTTCTTGCTTATTCGATTCCTTCAGAAAATGAGATTGAAAGGAGATACTATCCCTCACGAATACGGCATTTTAAGTTATGTTATTCTGCCTCCCATCATCTTTTGTGTTGATTACATACAGGTTAATCATGTTAGTGCCCCTTTCACTATACCTAATACCACTAGTAAGGTTTTCTTAACTATTATCAATTCCGTACATCCTTACATAACGCAGATTTAAATGTCAAAGTAAGTCGTCGACTGTAAAAGTCAGTGCTTCTCGCAAAAGTCCAATAAGAACTACGAACGCCAACTCTTGATTCCCACCTACATTTTAAACCCAAATGGCAATTTGGCCATTTAAACTTATTTGAATACAAAGGACAGTTCATTTTATTTGTAATCTCATTTGATTGATTGATTGATTGTACGTTGTTTTACGTCCCATTCGAGAATTTTTCACTCATATAGAGACGTCACCATATACCGGTGAAGGGCTTCAAAATTTGACCTTTACTCGGCACTTACGGCCATTGAGCAGTGAGGGATCTTTATCGTGCCAACGCCTGCCGTGACAAGGGGCCTCGATTTTTAAGGTCTCGAAGGACCCGCAACTTTCACTTCAAAGTGCCGAGCGCATGGCGAAGGAACAGTTGCTACCCATTTTTTATCGACTTGGGTCAGTCGCGGCCGAGATTCGAACTCACGACCTCCCGATCACGGAGCGAGCGCTCTACCGACTGAGCTACCGTGAACGGTGTAATCTCATTCGAAGTTGGTAAAAAAAATGACCACTTTTGCTGTTTTTGTCTGTAAAATATGTTCCCGCCCGTGGAACAACAAAAGCTTTCAATTGGTATGAATCACAGTACTTTGGATCGTTTAAATCAGACTTACAAAAATTTGGGGTGTAAAAAAAGGTATGAATTTGTGAAATAACAATTCATAATACCTGTAAAAAGGACATTTTGTTTTACGGGGGGGGGGGGTGTAAAAATAATTTCCGTTGATTTCTAGAGTGAAAAACACAAGTTTTACCAAAATTATAGAGTTATCTCTCTTTGTTTTCCCAAATATGTTTCGTTTTATGAAAATTCACACTAATATCTACATAAATATGAAAAACCATTCAAATATGATAACTTTTGAAAATTGACTTTGAGGTAGGCTGCAGAACAATACTATTGTTCGCAGTTCTACAATTACATGTACGTCATCTACAGCATTACTTATCCCTGAAATACACAGAATATCTAACAAGACCGTTTGTAATAAACTACGGGATGCTGGAATTATCGCCATTGTTCTAACCCCAAAACATCGCAAATATAGTAAGTTTTCAAAGGGCTACTAGTTCAAAATGTCTATTGCAAAGCTTGGTGTAAGAGTCAGAGTGCATAAGCTTTGTAAGTTTTACAAAAACTGCCTTCGGGAGGTTGATACATTTAGTGGTGGTAGTGTAATGATGTGGAAAACGGTATTACATACAGGTAGGACTGATCTGGTTCATATTCACAGAACTTTGATAGAAAACGGTATTCTAACGATTTGCTACCTGCACAAGTCTTTCCAGTAATGAAGCATCCTGAGCCACATACGGCTCGTTTGACAAGCGCATTCTAGCAAAGTTATAACATCCTGATCTGATAGATTTAAACCCCATTAAGCATTCATTGGACAAAATGGATAGGCATATCCACCAGAGACAATTGCATCCCAGTATCTGATAGATTTAAACCCCATTGAGCATTCATTGGACAAAATGGATAGGCATATCCACCAGAGACAATTTAATCCCCAGACTTTGCAAGAACTGGCCAAAGCTCTACATTTAGAGTGGGATAGCATTCACATACATTTTTAATACACTAATTATGTTCAATGTGTCACTGTTTTACCATGCGTTTCTTTCTTTCTTTTTTATGCCCCGTTTCGGTGAAGGTTGCACATACTGAAATGAAATTTGTATACAGATTTATCGTAAGAATATCGAGGTCAAGTTCTGTTCTGGGTACAATCGAGCAATTTTTGACAGAGTTATGCCCCTTGGACTTAGAAAAATTCCAATTATTTGCAGTGTCCATTCATTTTCTTCGAAGAGGTTGCACAAACTGAAATGAAATTTGGTATACAGTGAATATCTCGGTCAAGTTTGGGGCAATTTTTGACAGAGCTATACCCCTTGGACTTAAAAAAATTCCAATTATTTGCAGTTTTAATTCATTTTTTTTTTTGCAGGGGTTGCACGTACTGAAATGAAATTTAGCATACAGATTTATCATACAGATATCTTGGTCAAGTTATGTTTTTGGTACGATCAAGCAATTTTTGACCGAGTTATGCCCCTTGGACTTAGAAAAAGTCCAATTATTTGGGTAGGGGAGGGGGTATTAGTGTTTCACAAACATCTCATTCTTTTTTGAACAGTTTATATAAAAGTCTGTTTACTTCACCCTAGATTTATTTTCGAGCATATGAATTAAAGTGAAATAACTGATTTTCGTGGGGTTAAATTTTCGTTGTTTTCGGGGTATAAAGAGACCCACATATTCATGTCCACCACAAAATGTTTTGTTTGTTTGTTTAATAACGTCCCTCTCGAGAATGTTTCATTCATATGAAGACACCACCACTTGCCGATGAAGGACTGCAAATTTAGACCTATACTCGGCACTCATAGCCATTCAACAGTAAGGGATCTCTTCCGTGCCAGCTCTTACTGCGACACGGGGCCTCGGTTTATACGGTATAATCCGAGGACCAGTCTGCACATCCCGCAGTGGGATTCGAACCCGCGACGTAAGGATTCTTACACTGCGACTCTAGAGCAAACGCTCTAACCACTGCGCCATGCGGGCGACTACCACAAATTGTTAAATGTCATATACATAACTACCCAACATTGTAATATGTCATATACATAACTACTCAACAATTCTTCAACCAAGAAATCAAATTCTTTCGAACCCATTTTTTATCTCAAACCAAGATTTGACCCCACAAAGTATGTGATTTTACAGTATATCTAAATAAGTGTCTGAAGGTTGAAAAATACAAGACTCAATGGCATGCCATTTTTCCATCACAAAATTGATACACGAATTATTTCATCTTGTACACCATTAAGCATTTTCCAATTACAACAAATAAATAATTTAATTCGATCGCAAAATTTACCACTTAAACAAATGGCCGAACAGTATGCCTAACTTGATTGCAATGAAATGGGTTATTCCTGTGATTTGAAAACTTTTGGCACAAGGCAAATTTCAGATGAAAACAGATCTAATTCTTTTATTTTATTTATGAGTATCACTGACGACTAAATAAAGCAAATCAATATTAAATACATTGATTGATTTAATAAAAATTGTATGATCTCATAGTTCAAGTATCATCTAAGCGAACGTTCTAATCACATGCTTCTATTTCCTCATCATTTAAGCATGGGTATAAAATAACTAATGACAAAATTAGACGCATCGATATTGATTCATTTGTCAAAATGACTTGTAATAATACCTAGTTAGATAAAATCAAAATCCGGTGATGCCAAAGATATTGAAATTTACAGTTGTAAAATGATTAAGTATTTTTTCTCTCAATTAATACGTTTGCTAAATGCAATCTTGCCTCACAAAGTTAGCTTTTATACACGCGACAGTGGTATTTACCTCCTGCGTTCATTATAGCTTCAATCTTGCAATATCTACTGGCTGTGCAGTTTCGGATAAAAAGTCCTCCTTTAATTCTGTCGTGTAAAAGTCTTTCGCCAGATTTACAGATCTGTCCTGAAGTGGTTTCCTCGCAAACATAGCAAGATGTTCCATCTGCAAAAAATAAATTTTCATTGAATTTTTTTTTTTGGGGGGGGGATATTTCTTCTGCGGAGAAAAGAAAGGAAGACGTTTGTTATGCAGACTCGACTCACATTTACAACAGAATAAAGGAATGGGTGGGCTACTAATTAAAACATGAGACCAATTAGCCTTGACGTTCCCATGACTACATGTATCATGAGTGTCATGGGCTATTACTAATATAGGCCCACCTGGAATTGATCTGGACTTCTGTTAAAAAAATAGAGATTGGTTAGGACATTATAATTATCACAATTCGTAGAAGTTCATGAGTAAAGAAGATAAAGTTCACTGTATTATAAATTACAATATATGACCAACTAAGCCCCATCCTGGAACAATTCTAAACTTTTGTAAATCTAATAATTTACATGCTACTTTGTACATTGACTAATGAAGAATATTTTAAAGATGCATTTTACTCTCAATACATGACCAACTTTAAACCAATTCTGTGACTTGAACCAGTCAGTAATCAGAGGATCATAAATTTTACATATTTAGGTTTGATGGTAATTCTTCATGCTAAAAAATTGCCTTCTACAGAAGCCGGTAGGTACCACGTAGAAAAATATTTTATCTGGCGGCCGCCACATAAACAACCAAGTCAATGAGAAAAATGAGATTTTAAAAGTTTTTTTCTCCGAGCAGTGGAACGAAGAGGCATCAATTTTAAAATTTTTTTGGTAACGGATGAAGCATTTACAGTTTGCCTGATACATGTCCATGAGTAAAGAAAGTTTTACAGGTTTCGACATAAAACCAATGAAATTTTTTCATGGACATTGCTGGGCAGTTATCCAATTAAACAGCGATTCTGTGAAGAATTTTTTTCTAAGTTAAAATTTTAAAAAATAAAAATTGGTGTCAACTTTCTATCGGAAGTTCAAATAAAGAAATGCAGTCCGTAAAACGGTTAACCTTCATCCAGATCGTTATAACCAATTTCTATCCCGGTGAACAAACTCGGTCGAGATCGTATGGAGTCATTAGTTTCGATTTTAAACTTCGTGGCACTGAATGATTGATAAGTCGAAGTTTGGACTTTCGATGTCAGGAAAGATATATGAAAAAAGACACGGACAATAAAAAAGCGAATAAATAAGAGTTTGATGTTGAGCCTCTAAACATTTGTTATTATTGCAATTTTCTATTACTTTTTATTTAATTAGCATGAACTTGGGTAGGACAACTTGCTTTCATAAATTGCTATTTGACTCATACATTATAGATAAAGTCAACATTTTTCAAATTCTATGGTCGATAGAGTGCCCGTGCAATATATCATTAAGTTAAATGTTGACTGACGTTTCTAATAGAAATTGTTACGCTATTATTTTCATATGAAATTCTACGTTTTTTTCCGTTTGTCCGATCATGACAAGGAGTACATGGCGGGTGTGACCGGTTGCCAGGGGATGCTTGCTCCTCCATGACACCCGATCCCACCTCTGATGTTTGCTCTGATCCAGTTTGTATTGTTCCGATGGACCTTTGAGCTTGATTGCTGTTCATTATCTTTATATTATTACATTCTGATTCACAATATTTCTCATGTTTTCAGTTCTTTATTGATTTTTTTTTTACAAGTATAGGAATCATTACTAATTACCGTGCCAATAGTTTGATTGCTTGATTTTCAGAAGTAAAAGAGAATATTTTTTAAGATTTCATGATCTAAATGCAACATTTCTGTAAATAACTTTAAGGTTTAGAAAGGCTTAATATATTTAGTAATCTTTTCCATATTTTCCCCCCAAATGTACACATTATACCTTTTCAAGGTTTTTCAAGGTTTTTACCAAAGACCAAGATGGGTTATATAATTGAAGCTAATATGCATCAGAAGAAATTTATCTAGTTTGATACGTTTTTAAAAACCTGAAAATGAAATGACAATGTACGACGACGTATTCTTTTTAAAGATGATTACGGTACACATGTACATTATCGTCTGCTCCGGAATGAACAAGAGAAGAGTTTTGTTCTTTAAAATCCCCATGATTTGGGCCAGAACACCTAGCATATAACAATATGTTACTAAATTATTATTATTATTATTTTAAACCATCGCTGAAAGATAAGGGCAATATGGATAATATAAAATTAATGAACGATAAGTGCAGTTTCTTCGTAAACTTACCAGAAACTGGCATGTCCAAGAAAAAAGTGACAATGATAGCAAAAATTATCGACATTTCTAACCGAAGTTTCTGTGCTTGTCTCTACATCTACACCATTTTCATTCCTTGGATGGGTAATATTCTCTAGGCGGGCTTTGATTCCTTCGTTTATGACATTAGGAGTTCAATTAATATGCCTAGGTAAAGGACAAAATGGTATGTCAATATTTACTCGTATCTTAACCAATAATACACACGAACCTTTTGACGGAAAGATATATTTTGCTTCGTCTTAAGTTGTGTACTAAATATTGCTAGGTAGGATTGATGGAATATAAAACTTGAGAAAACTTCCACAGATTACATGTAAATCCTCGTGTATTTACCGATAAGGAACACCCAATACTACCTACTTACGATTGAAATAGAGTTTACAGTTGATAATTGTCCTGTAGTTACATGTTTGGGTTTTTTTTCTATTGAAAATATGATCAGTATCAAAGGCTTTTAAATGGACTAATTACATTGATTTAAGCTTATATATATATATATATATATATATATATATATATATATATATATATATATATATATCACATTACTTCCATTGTAAGTGACCGTGTAGTTTAGGGTGGCGCCGCGAGAATTCCATCGGCATCGAAAGCAAGTTATTTGACTTGCCTAGATGGCCGAGCGGTCTAGCGCTCTGTTTCTGTACTGCAAGGAGACAGATTAACTCCGGGATTGGGCAGAAGTGAGTATTCTTATAAAAAAAAGTTTCTCCGTGCTTTCTAAGTTGATATTTCTTCACCTAATTAGGACAGCTAAGTTAGATTAAGAGTTATTGTAACTTATTTGAGCTTCATATAATGTTAATTTCGCTACAGTGTGTATCGGTAACGATCCTCTAATAAGACTCTTGTCTAAATAGCTGCATCTCGCTTCTATTCTTAATGAGCGTGCAGTGTAGGCCGGCTCCACGAAAATTCCAACGCCATTGAAACAACTTTTTTGGACTTGCGTAGATAGTCGAGTGGTCTAGCGCTCTGTTCCTGTACTGCTAGAAGACAGATTTCCTAGGTCGAGAGTTCAAGACCTGGTTGGGGCGGAAGTGAGTAACATCCCTATTAAAAGTGAATTTCCCTGTGCTTTCTTCACTTTCAGGGCAACTATGTTAGTTTCGAGTTATTGTAAATTAAATGTGCTATGTATATATATATATATATATATATATATATATATATATATATATATATATATATATATATATATATATATATATATATATACTTCATTTTCAGCATTTGATCTGTTTACTTGGACCACTTTACTCTGGAGGACAGGATAACCTTGCAGTTTACTTCGAAAGTTATGAACAAGGTTACATGTAAAGATGCAATAAGAACATAATTATACGGTTTCATTGTAAAAAGGAGCACAAAAATCAATTTTCAATACTTTTATTTGCCCGAGATACTTTGCAAGTGATTATTACATTACAAAAATGACAGATCAGATCTTAACATATACCTTAAGATTGATAAATATATGAAAAGCAATGGGGATCGTTTTAACAGTACATTTATTCTTCGTTATTTTTTCTCTGTGCATTGACTACTTAATTACGTAATCCAGACTCAAGAAGAAGACTCAAGTCAGAATTTCAGTAAATTCATTTTATATTAATATCAAATTTAAACATTTTAAAATCATATTAATTATAAACTGAGACTTTTAAATTTAATTTAAATTAATAGTCAAGGAAGAAAAATATTCATATTTTAAATTTTGTGTGTTCTGATTCAAGTCTAAAACTGCATGCTTCATGATCATGAAGCCAGTTTTACTTACTCCAATTCATTTATCAAAATAACATACAGTCCGTTATCTTTTCGCTAGGACGGACGTAAAATCAGAGTGAACGGCAAGATTTAAAGTTGGATATTTTAAAAGAATACAGCCTTGTTTTATTCCATGCTTAAAAGTACATTTTTTTTTCAGATGGAAGAAGTGTTAAAAGCTGATCAACACAAAACAAAATAAGCATTTCTCGGTAACCAATTGTGTTTAGAGTACCAGGCCATTAAGGTGCCCTTATCGTGGCGGGGAGCAATCAAGTTCAGGTGTGGGGGAGGGGCCGGTTATTGACATGATGTCTAGCTTCTGTTCAGCCTAGTAACAACGCTTTTTATCTGACGAGGAACAATACTACCACCTCATCAAGACACCAGACGTTTTGTCATGGAACCTCCCTGGAGAAATAAATTATCTAATATAAAAAACTAATATTAAAATAAATTCGCACATTAGCAGTAGGCGCCAGTGAGTCCTCAGCATCAAGTTTTTCTGCTCATATTTATGATTTCTATGTTCGATCGTGTTACATAAACTTGTGGGTTGAAAGTGAAATCCACTTGTTTCTGAGCCGAGACGTATGTTCTGATTTTTTAGATACAAATACAGAAAAATATTAAAAACTGTTATCATTTTCCTAACATCGATATAGACAGACGGGGTAATTATCTTTTTTTTTCCAAAGTCAAGGGATTTACAATGCAATATCACGTATTACAAGAAGTTTGAGTTACCATTACCAGCTTCTTATGTTTAGTGTTACATGCCTGGCAGATTATGGAAAAATAAAGTTTACGCTAATCAATAATCTTGTTTGTACTCAACTACAACATCATTAGGACCCAAACCCTTAATTTAGTTATCTCAAATATGTACACTGAGTTCATTTTTTAGGTGAATTGCCTATCGTTATAAATTTTTGTCTTATTTAGAGCGTTGTTCATCAGTCATAAGCGTCACTTTTTTTTTTAGCTTTTCTGAAACCGTTATATGAACTGTCAGTAAATTCGGTACATGACACATATGGGCGAACAAAATCGGGAAAATTTATGTTCTTCCTTTTCTTGGACGCGAGAAGGTGGAACCAAATCGTTAAAAGTAGATCAATCTTCATATAACTTCATTTCTTCCTGACATATAGCAGGCAAACTGTTTACATACGTAGTGATAATAAACAAGTGTCCTTTGTTACAGTGAAATTGCAAAATTCACGTCCCCTGCATCAAAAAAGGGTTCAGGCCTCAATTCGGAGCTCCGTAGATCATATATATTCGTACATAATACTAAATAATAAATCAAATTTCGAATATTTGTGAAATTTTCTGGGTTGTGGTTGCCCCCCAGTGTACATGTGCGCGTGAGTTTGACATAAAAGATGACAAACTTTGTAACAATTAATAAGTTAGATCGTATCTAGGAGTAATTGGATTGGGAAAGTCTCTGCACGAAACCCAGGACAACGCAAAACAGCCAAAAGGTATTACTAAAATACATGAATGATCTGACCCCATGACCAAAATTTAGTCATTCATAGATGAATATTTATTGTACACTGACGCTTGAAAATAAAAATAATTTAATCAAGCAACCTGAGAAAGCAATTATACTAGTCCCCTAGCGGCAAGTATTATCTGGTTAACCTTAAATATTAAAAAGGCCAAAATTCCATGAAATATCATCGAAACCAAAAGAAAATGGAAACTTGGTCTTAAACTCATTAAGGTAGACCTTTACATTACATTATTGATAATGATTAATTATAATAACTTCTCTCACTAGAGTACAATTTAATAGAGCCTAGTCCCGCATCAGAACACTTGGCCAAGTGGTCCACTTAACCCCTGATTCTGAGGCGCCACAAAATTTTGCAGGATGCACCCTAAGTCATCATAACCATGCACTTCATTTATCTGTTAAACATCCAGGGGAACAGAAAATGTATTTCAAGAATTCATACATTTTACTACATAAATATAGAGTCCCACCCTAAAACTAGAACCCCTTACCCAGGGGCCATGAAATAATATTCAGATTTTTGGAAGAGGCAACGCTACTTATCATAACATGCACTAGGGATGTCTTCCTAATATACAGGAGCAGAATTTTTTTTTCAAAGAAATAATGCAATTTCATTATATAATGAATAGAGCCCACCCTAACACCAGAACCTCTGACCCTGGGGGCATGATATTCACAATTTTAGAAAAGGCAGCCCTGCTCATCATTATCATGCATGCAATATAGCTTTCAAATAAGAAGGTACTCAGGCGCAATAAAGAAGATTTTGAAAGAAACAATGCATTTTCACTATATAATCAATAGTGCCCCTCCGCTTTTACATCAGAACCCCTGACCCAGGGGTTATGATATTCAAAATTTTAGGAGAGGCTTCATTGCTCATCATAACTATGCATTTAGTTTCTTTGTTTAATATACAGGAGTAGAAAAGAAGATTTTTAAATAATTTATGCAATTTCACTATATAATCAATACAACCCCACCGTAACTCCAGAACCCCTGTCCCTAGGGCCATGATTTTCACAATTTTGGCAAAGTATTCAATTGTATATTATAACCATGATTATACAGTTTGACTGCTTGATGTCCAGGAGTAGAGAAGAAGGTTTTTTGAAAATTGCATTAATTTTGATGGTTTTGGCCCCATCTCTCAGGCCCCAGTGGGGCACGGATCTTGAAATTCACAATTTTTGTCCCTTTTTGCCCAAAGATGCTCTTCCAAAAAAAAAAGTTAAAATTGGTTCAGCGGTTCCAGAGTAGAAACCAAAAACATTCAAAAGTTTACGAAAGACGACGGACGAAAACAGATTGCAAAGGTCACATGAATGACTAAGGGTGACCTTAAAAAAGGTGCGGAAAACTAAGTGGGACAGACTGACGAGAAGGAAACCTTTAATTCCCTCTGATTCCACCGATAGGGGACTAATGACATTTCAACTTATTTGTGTTTTCATATAATTTGAAGGCAATATACAAATTATGACAAGTTTCAAACTGCTTCTAGATCCTGGGGCCAGTAATATTGCCCTCTTCTTTGGAAGACGGTATACAGAGTTGAAGTATTTTAGAGTCTTCGGACTATGCACTTCCTCTCCTGTAATTGGTAGAAAATGCATGATGTGAAAATTTTCAATTATTCATTGGTTGAAATGCTGTGCTTGGCAAGGGAGATAATTTGCAAGAGATCTAATTTTCGTACGACT